GAATACAAATACTAAATTACTTTATACTTAGACTCTATGCAATCTTTTTCAGTTTGATTTTTTAATACTATCGAATTACAATAATCTAAACATATTTATAAAAACATGATAGCATACATGACAAAATATAATCTTCAGGAGTAAAATGTTTCGAACATACTACCATATATTTCGTAACTTTTTTGCCAATTCTTAGCAGTCGGTTACATTTCTGAGATTCTCCGAATTCTGATTTACGAAAAATCATCTGTTTTTCATGTGGGAATACATGAAAACTTATATCGGGATCGCGTATAGCTTTGGAATTACAATTTGGAACACAACAGAAAGCTTTACTTTTACTTTTACTATTCATCTTTACTGTTGACAATATACGAAGAACATTCAAATGACCCAGATAGAGTAGTTCTGTTTTTAAACACCAGAGGGCGAGCATCCGGTGAAAAACGCGAATTCACAGAGAATGCTCATTAAATAGCTTTCTATTATGCAAAAATATGGATTGTCTCACATCAAAAAATATTATTGTAGAAAAAAAAAATAGTTATTCTTGTCAGAGATATTTTATGATTTATTTTTTGTGCAGCTGCAGCTGTATGATAACCATTTACAACATTATTCAATATATGTTGAAGAAAAGGTTATCTCCATATCATCTGGATTCAAGTATTTTTCCAACAGAAATTACTTAAGATATGATGCCCTATATGATTAAGTATCTCTGTAGTTGATGTTTTATTACTTATATAACTGTTGTATTTTTCACTATGAAATATTCATTATTACTAAATATTTTAAATAATAGAATGTACTGTAATCCAAATTTTTAATAATTCCAGTTTGGTTGAAAACATTTTTATGTACGACTTGGCTTTTCCAAATTCTCCCTGCTTAAAATTAGCACCATAGAGAGCACCTTTCATCCAAGTAATATTGTCTCAGTTGTCTATACTAAATAGTGAAGAAAACATAGATTCTCCTAAGGATGAAATTACTCCTTTCTTTAATAATAAAGATGGGGATATAAAACTATTCGAAGAAAATTGCACCAACCATGTGATGGAATCTGGTGCTTCCAAAGAAAAGAAAAAAGCTATTAATTTATTAAGAACTAAGCAAAATCTTTATTTTAATTATTGAAATTTAAGTGTTATACATTGCAATAATAAAAATAATTAATAGTATGTCGATGGCTGATGACAAGTTTACCTAGAGCATTGAATTCTGCTCCTCCTGAAGTTTTCCAGCTCTTACCAATAGTGAGTTTGTTTATTTTATTGTCTTGGTAAATTTTAGAGAGACTAAAATAGTGTATTTATAGTTATGCCAGATGAAGAGCAATACAACTGATGACGAATTGCAAAGAGATTGCACTTACACAATAGTCATATTGGGTCACACTATGTTACGTCCTGACAGTTTAAAAGCAGCTATTGAAACGGTAAAG